ATTCGTATCGTTTTCACCACCTCTCTAACACCGATGTTGCAATGGACTAAGGGGTCACTAACGCAATTTTTTTTTTGGGCGTCGGGGGTTCTCATAGCCGCTTGGATTACGACGACGACGGCGACGACGATGGCGACGGCGGCAGCGGCGGCGAAAAACGACGGTGACGACGACGACAACAACGACGTACTCTGTTGATTCGTATCGTTTTCACCACCTTTCTAACACCGATGTTGCAATGGACTAAGGGGTCACTAACGCAATTTTTTTTTGGGGCATCGGGGGTTCTCGTTGCCGCTTGGATTACGACGACGACGACGATGGCGACGGCGGCAGCGGCGGCGAAAAACGACGGCGACGACGACGACAACAACGACGTACTCTGTTGATTCGTGAAGTTTTCACCACCTTTCTAACACCGATGTTGCAATGGACTAAGGGGTCACTAACGCATTTTTTCCCCACATCCAAAGTGGGGTTCTTGTTCTCTCTGCACACCCCCGCGCAGGAGAGAGATCTCACTCACCCCCTCTTCTCCTCGCACTCATTCACACACACATCATCATCACTCGCACTCTCTCACACGCTCACGAACATCATCGTCATCATCGGTATCGGCATCATCCTCATTCAAACATCATCATCGCCACCACCACCCACAATCAATCATCATCCTCTTCACCACTCATCTTCACCACCACTCATCATCCTCATCCTCATCATCGTTGAGTAAAGTGTGAGGAAGTCTCAGGCGGGAGCCCCCTCCCTATGGGGCCCGCAGATCATGTTGGTAATCCGAGCGGGTCATCGGAACCCTGTAACTGTCGTCACTTTTGGGCTCCCCAGGCCTGAAAATGGAGGAAGTCTCAGGCGGGAGCCTCGTCTGTGAGTGAATTGGGAGGAAGTCTCAGGCGGGAGCTCCCTCCCTATGGGGCCCGCAGATTATGTTGGTAATCCGAGCGGGTCATCGGAACCCTGTAACTGTCGTCACTTTTGGGCTCCTCAAGCTGAATATGGAGGAAGTCTCAGGCGGGAGCCTCGTCTGTGAGTGAATTCTGAGGAAGGCTCAAGCGGGAGCCCCCTCCCTATGGGGCCCGCAGATCATGTTGGTAATCCGAGCGGGTCATCGGAACCCTGTAACTGTCGTCACTTTTGGGCTCGTCAAGCCTGAATTTGGAGGAAGTCTCTGGCGGGAGCCTCGTCTTTGAGTGAATTGTGAAGAAGTCTCAGGCGGGAGCCCCCTCCCTATGGGGCCCGCAGATCATGTTGGTAATCCGAGCGGGTCATCGGAACCCTGTAACTGTCGTCACTTTTGGGCTCCTCAAGCCTGAATATGGAGGAAGTCTCAGGCGGGAGCCTCGTCTGTGAGTGAACTGCGAGGAAGTCTCAGGCGGGAGCCCCCTCCCTATGGGGCCCGCAGATCATGTTGGTAATCCGAGCGGGTCATCGGAACCCTGTAACTGTCGTCACTTTTGGGCTCGTCAAGCCTGAATTTGGAGGAAGTCTCTGGCGGGAGCCTCGTCTTGAGTGAATTGTGAAGAAGTCTCAGGCGGGAGCCCCCTCCCTATGGGGCCCGCAGATCATGTTGGTAATCCGAGCGGGTCATCGGAACCCTGTAACTGTCGTCACTTTTGGGCTCCTCAAGCCTGAATATGGAGGAAGTCTCAGGCGGGAGCCTCGTCTGTGAGTGAACTGCGAGGAAGTCTCAGGCGGGAGCCCCCTCCCTATGGGGCCCGCAGATCATGTTGGTAATCCGAGCAGGTCATCCAAAACCTGTAACTGTCGTCAATGTTGGGTTCTCGCGCTGCCAGAACGCAGTTCCCAGGCCACATTTGGATGCAACAAGGAAGTTTTTGGGCTCCTCAGGTCGCCGAGGTGCTGCGACAGGGCGCCGAAGGCGCCGACGACGACGGCCAGGCCGAGGCGCGGGCGCGGAGCTTGCTGATGTTCAGGCCCAGCGAAAGGGAGTTCACATGGCAGAGCTCGGGGGCGCACAGCGTGCGCCGCTCGGGGTTCACCCTGACGCACGCGTCCTACCTGACCTCCACGCTGTCGCAGGGCCAGACGCTGCGCAAGGGCGTCACCATCGACTGCGCGAGAGACGAGGACGCTGGCCGCACGGGCATGTCGGACGAGCAGTGGTGGCTGCACCTCTACGTCATGTTCTCCCGCGCCACGTGCATGCGGAACATGCTGATCCTGCGGCCGCCGCCGCGAGAGTTCCTGGAGTGCGGGCCGCCGGCGTCCCTGCGGAAGGCGCTCCTGGAGTTCGACAAGAGAGCGGTTTTGTCCAGGGCGGAGGCGAAGCAGCTCGCGGCAGAGCTGGGCTTCGTGCTGCCTTCCGCCTGAGCGCGGCTGCGCCTCGCTCGAAGCCCGCGGGGTTGTCCCAACGGCTTGGTCTTGCGCGCCAACGGCTCGCGGGGTTGTCCCGACAGCCTGGCCCGCGGGGTTGTCCCAACGGCTGCGCGACGTGACCTGTAGAGAACGCGCCTGTGCTGGCCGTGGCGGCGACGGCGCCGAGGAACATCGACATGCGCGCTCATGCAACAGGAAGGGGAGGAGGTGGCGGGGCGCGGAACAAACAGGGGGGCGAGGATGGGGACAACGTAAGGAGTGGAAGGGGGGCCCGCGCCAAGGCGAGAGGAAATATACGCAGAAGAGACAGCCAGGACGCCTCACCAACCACGAGGACGACGGTGATGGCTTTTTCCAGATTCGCCCAGAGGATTCTTATGTGGGGTTCTTCCGTCGGAGTAATTGGTTCAGGATTCGTTGCCTCTGATTACTGCTGTCACTGATTCTGATTTTGTGTTTCGTGGAGTGACTGAGAGAGGGGAAGAGGCCACCACGGCCCATTCCTCGGCCTGGGCTTGTCTCTGGCGGGTCTTCTGGAGGGCCCTGGCCGAGTTCGGCGGCCTTTGCGAGACCGGCCTTTCGATGCGTAAGGTCAAGAGTCACTGCACAATGTCTGACGTGGATGCGGGCCGCATCACGCGCCGGGACCGTTTCGGCAACTTCCACGCCGACGTATGGGCGAAGTTTGGAGGCCAGCTTGCGCGCGCCTGTTGATGATAGGAAGCGCATGCAGCAGGCTGAGCAGTTTGTGGAGCAGGTGGGGCACAGGATTGGCGAGGTGGGCGCGCATGTGGACGGGCGTGACACTACGCACGTTGCGCGCCGCACGCGTGTGAGCGCGCCCCCTCTCCTCGTTGTCGTCCCTGCTCAGCTGCCTCATGATTTAAGAGGGCCTGCCAGGCGACCCTGGTGTGATCGCTGCCGTGCTGTGGCCCCCGTGTCCGAGGTCTGCCCTGGGTCGATCTCGACACGTGCGCGTGATGCCAATGAGCGCTTGCAGGAGCAGGATTTGAAGGTACATCGGTTAGTTGTTTTTAGGGTGGAGGAGTCCCTTCAGGATGCGGCCCATCCTGTTGTTGCGTGTACGCTCTGTGGTGCGCACAGTTCGAAGCAACTCAAGGGATTCCTCGCCCCTTGTTGCAAGCCTGGGGAGTGGGGTAGGCGGGCCGTCCGAAGGATGAGCCAGGGCTACCTCCCAGGTGTGGCTGGGAAAGTTCCAGCTGTTGTCGTTCCTCTAGCGTAGGGACTTCCCGCGTGGATAGTTGTGCCCTCAGAGGGGGGCTCCACGGCGTCGGGAAGAGGAGGGGGAGGAGGAGGAGGAGGAGGAAGAGGAGGAGGAGGAGGAGGAGGAAGAGGAGGGAGGGGGAGGAGTAGCGAGGAATGAGGGAGGAGGAGGAGGAGGAGGAGGAGGAGGAGGAGGAGGAGGAGGAGGAGGAGGAGGAGGAGGGAGCAGGAGGAGGAGGAGGAGGAGGAACAGGTGAGGACTGAGGGGTACCTCTGTTCCTCGCCGTCGCCCAGTGGAGATGGGGAAGCCAACGTGCACCGATGCCGCCACCCCCTGGACCTCTCCGAGAGTGCGTTCTGACCAGGACTTCGGGGCGAATCCAGCCGCGGCGGCGCGAGCCTTCCAGGAGGCCCAAAAAGACGAGAGCAAAGGAAGGGTAGTGGTGTCAGTACACCCCTGCTTATAGTTATGAAGACTCGACGCTAAGAAAATTGCCTTCACTCCACGTATCTCCTTAAACTGCAGTCCAGGTCCGGAGACACGACAGCACTACGATAAACAAAGCTCCAAGAAAACGCCCAATGAAGATTCTTGGTTTTCATCAACGAAATCTGGAGTCCATGAAAGTTGACGCGTTTTCTTAAGTTGTGTGATGGGTGCACTTTCTCCTCAACGGAGGAGGATTGGTGGACCGAGAGGTGTGGACCCTTTCCGGTTTTCCATCCCGAAGCGGCTCTTGACGGTGCCGGGGCCCGGTGAGGGCCCTCAGATGCCGAAAACTGTCAAAACCATTCGGGCTGACTTTTTTCACGACGCGAAGGTGGTTTGGACCCCGACGCATGAAGCCAATGCTGCCTCAATGAGAGATTCTGCACGGAAGCGGGACCCGTCACTCATCCACGCGCCTTCATCCACGTTGCACTTCCTCGAGGTCCTCGCCATCGCAAACTTCGGGCCGACGTAAAGGTATGGTAGAGGCAGAGTTGGGCTTAGAGGAAAATCGCTAAGCGGCCCGTACAAGAAGAACATAGACGAGTATCCAGATGGGCATGTTCACTGCCCCCACTTTGCGGATCCGCGCTGGATTTTCCGCCGTCGGGGACGCCTGCCCCCGGGCGACTGGAAAGGTCATATCCCTACGTGGCACCGTAAGAGTATAAACTTTCCAGCCGCCCTGGGACAGGCACCCCCGACAGCGAAAAAGTTGATTGTATGACGCTCTTCGGCCGTAGATTTTCATGCTTACGTCATTTTTCGATCCCCTAGAGAGAGCCCGGGCGGACGCCGTGCGCGACCAGGCTCTGGCATTAGGTCGGGCATGTCCTCTTACAGGGGGATTTCGGACGAAAGGCTGCAGATCGTCGAAAGATCTTCCAAAGTCCCAAAAATCGTCCCCATACCGTGTCTGACTATTTTTCAAGATTCCTCCTGTGCAGCTTGGGCGCGTGGCTCGGTGTCTGGTTACCCTGCCCTTGTCTTCTGGGGGCGGCTGCCGCCGACCCGAGTCTCCGACCCCAGACCCCCGACGTAATGATTTTTTCATTACGTCGACCCCCAGAGGTCCCGACCCTTTCCCCATGACCAGCTTTGCATCCTGAGTCGTTTTTGACGCTCCGGGCGTGCCGAAGCGCCCGGGGAGCGCGCCGCTCGCCCGCCGAGGGCCGGGGCCGAGGGCGGCGGAGCCGAGCCGAGGGTGGAGCTTTCGGGGGTCGGGCCTCGAGGCCCCGGGGCGCCGCCCGCTCCCGGCGCCGCCCGCTCCTCCTCCTCCTCCTCCTCCCCTCCTCCTCCTCCTCCTCCTCCTCCTCCTCCTCCTCCTCCTCCTCCTCCTCCTCCTCCTCCTCCTCCTACCGTGTTTTGACTATTTTTCAAGCTTCCTCCTGTAGAGGGACGTGCCCTTCCCCAGACAACGCAAGCGTCGCCGCGTTAAGGTAGGTTTCACGTGCTGGCTCACCTATTGCAGGTTGGCCTTCGCGAGACTCTGGCTCAGCTTATCGTGACACAGGCCAGGCGTCTGGCCGGAAGGAAATTCGAAGAGGCCACGACAACAGCTGAAGGGTCTAAAAAAAAGAGGGACGTGCCCGACTCCACTCTGGCAGCCCGCGGGCGTGCCGAAGCGCCCGGGGAGCGCGCCGCTCGCCCGCCGAGGGCGGCGGAGCCGAGGGCGGCGGGGCCGAGCCGAGGGCGGAGCTTTCGGGGGTCGGGCCTCGAGGCCCCAGGGCGCCGCCCGCGCCCGGCGCCGCCCCTCCTCCCCCTCCTCCCTCCTCCTCTCCTCCTCCTCCTCCTCCTCCTCCCACTCCTCCTCCTCCACATCCTCCTGCCTCCTCCTCCTCCTCCTCTCCTCCTCCTCGACCTCCTCCTACTCCTCTCTCATCCACTTCTCCTCCTCTCCCTAGCAAACGGGGGTCAGCCAGAGCGCCCCAGCCTTGCAGAATCCTGCAGGGCCAGGGTCGCATTGACCCGGGCTGGGTGCAGGAGCCTGCAGGATCTTGCAGATCCTTCGCTTAACCCGTGTTGGGTGCAGGATCTTGCAGGATTCTGCAAGGCCTGACTGGACCCGGGTCTGGATTTGTACCCGGTCAGGAGCCCCCCGACATCCTCCTCCTCCTCCTCCTCATCCTCCTCCTCATCCTCAATTCCCTGGGCTGCCTTTTGTTCTGACGTTTTCTCCTGTGTCATGTTTGGGGCGATTTTTCTATTCCTTCTGAGTATGTTTTGGTGGTGGTAGCGGAAAGCAGGCCCATCACCGCCGCCGGGGTCGGCACGACGCGAGCTCGCCGCACGCGGGGGCGGCCGCCGCCGATCGGAGAAATCCGCGCGCCAGGGGGGGGGGCCCGGCGCCGACCCGAGAAATCCGCGCGGACCTCCGAGTTTCCATGTTTATGTCACTCCCAGACCCCCTCGGGCAATGAAATAATCACGACGGTAGGTTTGTCTTAATTTTCAGCCTTTGGAGGCCCTCACCGGCCCTCGGGACCGTCAAAAAACGACTCAGGATGAAAAACCGGTCCGGGGGAATGGGTCGAGATCTCTGGGGGTCGACGTCATGAAAAAATCATGACGTCGGGGGTCTGGGCTTTTCGTTCCCCCAGATGAGGACCGGCAGTTCTCGTGCTGCGGCGGGTGCGTTGGTGAAGGAACGCGCCTGGGAGGCTGCAGGCCCTGGAGGATTCCCTGTCTGATGAGGGCGGCGGTGGCACCCATGCCCGATCCGCAATTGGAGTTCCACCGGCTCCCATCGCTGCGTAACATCCAACCCCGATATGATAAACCAGGCCTGTTTTAGCGCCACCAGTGGTGGCCCCTGCGGGCATCAAAAGAGGCCTCGCTTTCGTTAAGGACAGGCGCCTCTGGCCGTTTGTAGGATCTATTGGAATTCCAGACCCTGGCTTCCTTATCCAATGGTCGTGGCGCCAGCATCGCAGAGTGGATTTCGATCGGAAAACGATAGGATGGGCCCGGAGTGTCTTGGAGAATTTCGTTCCGGATTTCGAGGTGAATTTCTATTGTGTTTTTTTGGGGGGGGGCCAGGAAGGAAGACCAAGAAGGACCCGCATTGAATTCGCTTCGTTTTCCGCTCGTCGGGCAGACATCCACGCAGAAATCCGCTGCAGCACGTCTGCAAGGCCGGTGCAGCGACGACGGTGCCCTCAGCCGTGCCGTCAGGGAGCGCCACCGTGGGGGAACGGAGGGGGCTCTTCGGGCCACGGCGGGGGCAGGCCACACACATTAGCAGGTTCCACGGCATACCTCTTGGGTCGGGCATGCCCCCCTTAGGGGGCCACATGCGAACCCTACCCCTACCCCCCACGATTTCTCAGGGGGAGGGTGGGGTTCATTTCGTTCGGGAGCTCCCGAGCGAAGTGAACCCCTACCCCTCCCCTTCCGAAATCGCGGCGGGCAGGGGTAGGGTTCGCATGTGGACCCCTACCCCGACGGGCGGATTGTGGGCGAGAGAAACATGGTCAAACATATGCAAAGCATGCCCCCAAAAAGTATCAAAACATGTGCAACGCATGGCCAAAAAGTGTCAACACATATGCAAAGCATGTCACCATATAGGCGGATTTTGGGCGAAAGATATAAACGTGTCAACAAATATGCAAAGCATGCCCCAAAATACCCCCAACATCTTCCCCAGACTATTTTTTTGAATATTTCTCCTGTAGAGGGACACGCCCGACTTAACACCACATCAGTTCATGGTCAGCCGAACGCTGGAATAGCACCAAATATGTTAAAACATAATCAGACGTATTTAAAACAATCGTGCCCAGACTAGTTCTGAACTGTTTTAGAGTTTTCCCCCTGTAGAGGGACATGCCCGACTTAAGACAACTCTAAGGAGCGCCCCGACAACCCGAGCCCCTCCTGAGCCCCAGCGGTCCTTGTGTCAGCGTCTTGACCGTACACGTCGGGGGCGTTAGGCAAGGAGTGTGCCCAGGAGGCTTCAGACCCTGATAGGGGTTCCTTATCTAATGATGGCTCGGGGGTGGACAGAACCCCCACCCGACACGTCGATCAGCGACTTGTTCGTTTTCGGTTCTCGAGAGGGCGCCGCGGCCGTCATTTTCCAGGCTTGCGCCCGCCAGGTTTGGGCCCGAGGTCGCGTTCACTAAACCACGTTTTACTAAAAAGGGTTCTGTCCATTCCCGATCTCATGATGGCGGCGGTGATATCCGTGGCCGATCGGCGATTGTAGCTACACCGTCTTCCAGACCCTGTGTGCTTTACCCTATGGTTCCGTATCCATCCTCACCGTAGTCGGAGACGCGTCGCCAGGTAAACAGCGGTTGAGATCGGGACAGCAGCAATGGAGACCGCGACCTCTCTCGTGGCCGACGGAGAGGACGATAATCGAGGATCGAGGACGCAGTTTGCTGGACGTTCCTGGATGTTTGCTTCTGCCTCCAGAAACTTCCAGAGGCCTCCAGGGACGGAGGAGGGAGGAGGGGGAGAGGGTGGAGAGGGGTTGCTGCAGGAGTTGGAGGGGGGAGGAGGGGGAGGAAGAGGAGACGCAGGATAATCTTGTGAGGAGTTGCTGGGGTGGGGGAGGAGGAGGAGGAGGAGGAGGAGGAGGAGGAGAAGGAGGAGGACGACGACGACGAGGAGTGAGGAAGGAAGGAAGAACGCGGAGGGAGAAGTGGATGGAGATTGGGGAGGAGCTGCAGGGGAACTAGCCGATGCATCCCCAATATCCTCCCCATTTCTCCTCCCCCTGCCATGATCAGCCGGCGCAGGGTTTCACCCGCTTCTGTTTGCGATTGTTGAGGCTTGACGAATTGTCCAAGTGCCTCCGCCTCCCACTCCACCTCCTCCTCCTCCTCCCCCCATGTCCTGCTCCGTTTTGACTCCCCTCTTCCTTCGTCCCATCCTCCTCTCCTTCTCACTCTCATCCTCCGCCTCCCTCCCCCCTTCCCTCATTCCTGCACCCTGCTCATCCCTCCCCCTCCTCCTCCTCCTCCTCCTCCTCCTCCTCCTTCTCCTCTTCCCCCTCCTCCTCCTCCTCTTCCCCCACCCTTGCCCCCCCTGATCCTCATCCCCCTTCCTGACGAGTCTCTCTGGGCCACGGGCTGCTGGAGCGCGGCCGCCTGCGATCCGACGCAGGTGCAAACGCTTCGGCTGCCAAAGGATGTACGACCCCAACGGGCTCGCGCGCTCGGCTGGGCAGGATCTGCAAGGGGTGGGTGGACATGTCGGGAGGGGAAGGCCAGGAGGGAGTGACACCGAAGGGCTAGTTGTCACAAGGACGGTGAAGGCCTGGAGGGACGGGATGGATAATTGGAGGAGGAGGAGGAGGAGGAGGAGGAGGAGGAGGAGGAGGCGGAGGAGGAGGGGAGGAGGAAAGGGGAGGAGGAGGAGGAAGAGGAGGAGGAGAGGAAGCAGGAGGCGGAGGAGGAGGAGAGGAGGAAGCAGGAGGAGGAGGAGGGGAGCAGGAGGGAGGAGGAGGAGCATGAGGGAGGAGGAGGAGGAAGCAGGGAGGAGGAGAGGAGGAGGAGGAGGAGGAGGAGTAGGAGGACGAGGCAGGACAGGAGCAGGAGCAGGAGCCGGATGTAGAGGAGGGAGGAGGAGAGGAGGAGGGAGGAGGAGGAGGAGGAGGCAGGCGGCAGAGCAGGGATGGTGAAGTGGCGTGGTGGAGTAATGATGAGGCCGAGGAGGCGGCGGACGACGCCGCACCTGGCACACCGGGGCTGTGGCATAGGCCGACAGCTCCGGCAGGATGCGCAAGCAAGAGGCGGCGGCATTGAGAGGCGGAGGAGGAGGAGGGAGGTTCAGGAGGAGCGGAGGAGGAGGAGGAGGAGGAGGAGGAGGAGAGGAGGAGTAGGAGGAGGAGGAGGTAGGAGGTGGAGGAGGAGGACGCGAGCAGACGGAGGCCAGGGAGCAGATAGGGCGACGAGGGCGTGAGAGGGTTGAAGACGGCGAGCAGTCGCGGCGGAGGTGGAGGAGGCCGTGGAGGGGCCAGATGATAACACCCAACCCCGAGAGACCCGCGCGCCGGTCCCGCACTGAGGAGGGCATGATTTGCGGAGGGCCCGTGGTGGGCTCCTCCGTAGTTTTGCTTCCTCCTCCTCCTTTTCCTCTTCCTCCTCCTCCTCCTCTCCTCCTCCCTCCTCCTCCTCCTCCTCCTCCTCCTCCTCCTCCTTCCGTAGCCATTTTGGCTCAAGCCGGTCTCAAGCCCCCTGCTCGCCATTTCCGCATCGCGCATGGCCGGTTCCGGAGGTGGCGCTGCTGGAGCTGAAGCTTGACCACATGGCTACGGGAGGGCCCTCGCCACCGCCGGTGGCGCGTGAGGCCCCGCGTGCGTGGGCAGGCGCTTCTGCTCGCGCCTTCCAGCAGCGGCTGCGGAGGCGGCGTGCGGCGGCTTGCCTTTCCCCCCGTGCCGATCTCCATCGGCGGCTCCAGGCCTTCCACCGCGGCTTGGAGCTTCACGCCTCGCTCGACGCGCTCCTGGGTACTCACAGCCACTGTCTCGGGACCGCTCTCGCGCTGGCCAAGCCTTGGTTATCGAGACAAGCCCACATCGACGCGGTGCACGTGAAGAAAGAACAGGATGCAGCGGCACACGGTGCCTTCTCTTGGCTGAGCAATCCTGGCGGGCCGGCGCAGGCTCTGCCCCCGATCCCTACGGGTGTCGGGGCGTGGCACGCCGCCCACCTGGAGGCAATGCTGGCGGCAAAGGTCCCGCCCGTCCCCAAGTACGTCGTCATTGAGGTGCCGCAGCTGCTGCCACCTGCCGATGAAGGCGCTCCTTGTGGATGTGATGCCGCCCACACGGCGTCGTACGACTCCGACGTGCCCAGTGGCCATATCCCGCCCGATCGCCCTGCTGGTTTGGCCCCCTCCAATCTGCTGCAAGCCTCTGGGAGCCACTCTGGGACCCTAGACCTCCCGAACCGCCCGCGTTCCCTGTCGTGGAGGAGGCGGGGCACCGCGCGGAGGAGGCAGCTGAGTGGCCAAGTGCTGGTGACGCATATTCAAATCGCAATTTCATGTCGGACCGCTCTGGAGAGGACACTGGGTCGGACACCTTCAGCGACGACCTGGGCTACAGCAACGTGTGCTTCCCCGTTGACTCGTCGCTTGGCGTACTCTCCACTCGTTTAAATTAGATATCAGATTGCGACCTAGTTTAGCCGAGATCTATTTTCACCGAGTCTAGTTTTACCGAGCCGGGACTCGAATACTAAACACAACGTTCTGTATGTCTGGGGTCAGGCCCGGGTCAGTCCGGGGTCACTCCAGGGTCAGTCCGAAGTCGGTCCGGGGTCAGTCAGGGGTAGGTCGGTCCGGGGTCAGTCCCGGGTCGGTCCGGGGTCAGTCCGGGGTCAGTCCGGGGTCAGTCCGCGGTCAGTCCGGGGTCAGTCCGGGGTCAGTCCGGGGTCAGTCCAGGGTCAGTCCGGGGTCAGTCCGGGGTCAGTCCAGGGTCAGTCCGGGGTCTGGGGTCAGTCCGGGGTCCGGGGCCAGTCCGGGGTCAGTCCGGGGTCAGTCCGGGGGGTCAGTCCGGGGTCAGTCTGGGGTCGGTCCCGGGGTCAGTCCGGGTCCGTCCGGGCGGGGTCCGTCCGGGGTTAGTCCGGGGTCAGTCCGAGGGTGATCCGTCCGGGGTCCAGTCCGCGAGCCAGTCCGGGGTCGTCCGGGGTCGGGACCCGCTGTTCATCCGGGGTCATTCCTGGTCAGTCCGTCCGTTGTCAGCCGTCCGTGGTCAAGTCCAGGTCATCCGTGGTCATTGCCCCGGGGTCAGTCCGGTGTCAGTCCGGGGTCAGTCCAGGGGTCAGTCCGGGGGTCAGGCCGGGTCCGGGGTCGGTCCGGGGTCGGTCCGGGGTCGGTCCGGGGTCAGTCCGGGGTCAGTCCGGGGTCAGTCCGGGGTCAGTCCGGGGTCAGTCCGGGGTCAGTCCGGGGTCAGTCCGGGGTCGGTCCGGGGTCGGTCCGGGGTCAGTCCGGGGTCAGTCCGGGGTCAGTCCGGGGTCAGTCCGGGGTCAGTCCGGGGTCAGTCCCGGGTCAGTCCGGGGTGTCAGTCCGGGGTTCAGTCCGGGGTCAGTCCGGGGTTCAGTCCGGGGCCAGTCCGGGGCCAGTCCGGGTGGTCAGTCCGGTGTCAGCCGGTCATTCCTCCGGGTTCGAGTCCCGGGGGTCGTCCGGGGTCAGTCCGGGGGGTCATCCGGGTCTTCCCGAGGTCAGTCCGGGGTCGTCCGGGGGGGGTCAGTCGTCCGGGGCCAGTCCGGGTCAGTCCGGGGTCAGTCCGGGCCAGTCCGGGTCAGTCCCGGGTCAGTCCGGGGTCAGTCCGGGGTCAGTCCGGGGTCAGTCCGGGGTCAAGCCGGGGTCAGTCCGGGGTCAGTCTGGGGTCGGTCCAGGCCCGGTCAGTCCGGAGTCAGTCCGGGGTCAGTCCAGGGTCAGTCCGGGGCCAGTCTGGGGTCAGTCCGGGGTCGGTCTCCGGGTCGGTCCGGGGTCAGTTCAGTCCGGGATCAGTCCGGGGTCAGTCCGGGGTCAGTCCGGGGTCAGTCCGGGGTCAGTCCGGGGTCAGTCCGCGGGCCAGTCCGGGGCCAGTCCGGGGCCAGTCCGGGGTCAGTCCGTGGTCAGTCCGGGGTCAGTCCGGGGCCAGTCCGGGGTCAGCCCGGGAGTCCAGTCCCGGGGTCAGTCCAGGGGTCAGTCCGGGTTCGTCCGGGGGGGGGGGGGGGGGTCAGTCCGGGTCAATCCGGGTCAGTCAGGTCGCGTTCGCCTTGTCGGAGTATTGCAGATGGTTTGTCGTCCCGCTGCGCGCGGCGGGGTACCTTATAAGTACTTTATGCTAGTTTTAATAATTAACTATGAAACTTACTGCCTACTTATAAGTAGCCCGTAAGTAGCCCGTAAGTAGCCCGTAAGTAGCCCGTAAGTAGTCCGTAAGTAGCCGCGTAAGTAGCCCGTAAGTAGCCCGTAAGTAGCCCGTGGGTTCTAAATTTCAATGGTTTTGGTTCCAAACTGTTTGCGATTTTGCTAACATGCTTTCTGTGAGTTCCATGTTCGGAGGTCGATTTTTTCAGCATGCAATCTGGATTCGTATATTTCCATGTTCGGAACAGAATTTTTCGCAGGTTGTAACTACATTCGTGCGCATGATGTTAAGCTGATCAAAATTATGTTTCTGTTGTTCGCGCCTATAATTTCAATGCTAACTTAAACGAAATTCTTGACACTTCGCGTATCCCCACCAGCCCATCCATAGTGAAACAGCGCGGGCACTACTGTTGAATTGGGGAGATCTCTGGTAGCGAAGGGTGCGGGTGCTGCTGCTGGTGCTGTTGCTGCTGCTGCTGCTGGCACTGCTGCTGCTGGTGCTACTGCTGGTGTTGCTGATTCTCGTGCTGCTGGCGCTGCTGCTGGTGCTGGTGCTGGTGGTGCTGCTGATGCTGGGCAGGTGTTGCTGGCGCTGCTGCTGGTGTCATTGCCGCTGGTGGTGCTGTGGGTGCTGGTGGTGCTGCTGCTTCTGGTAGTTTTGCTGCTGGTGCTGCTGGTGTTGTTGGTTCTCGTGATGCTGCTGGCGCTGCTGGTGCTGCTGATGGTGCTGGTGTTGCTGTTGGTGGTGGTGGTGGTGCTGCTGCTGCTGCTGGTGCTGCTGGTGCTGGTGCTGGTGCTGGCGATGGTTATCGTGCTGCTGGTGCTGCTGGTGCTGCTGCTAATGCATTTGCTGCTAATGGTGGTGATGTTGGTGCTGCTGATAGTGCTAGTGCTGTAGCTGCTGCTGCTGCTAGGTGCTGCTGCTGGTGCTGCTGCTGACGGTGGTGGCGGTGTTGCTGGTGCTACCGCTGCTGCCAAGTGCTCTTGCTGGTGGTTGTAGTGATGCTGCTTTTGATGCAGGTGCTGACGGTGGTAGTGAAATCAGGCAGCGTAACAACCGCCTAGGAAGCGTTTTCTCGGAGGTATTGGGATCTTCGGGCCATGTGGTGCTCGTTTGGAAGGTCTTGGGGGGGAGCTTAAATTCTTTTTGGTGGCATAGGGGACCTCTTGGAGCAGTGGCCACCATTGTTCAAAAAGAGGGGGCTTAATTCCACCCACCCACCCCTAGGAGCTTCCAAAAAAGGCGCTCTCGCGCTCTTGGGCGCCATTGGGGCCCTCTTGGGGCCCCTTGGGCCATCTCGGGGTCATCTTGACGCCTCAAGAGCCCATCGGAAGCGAAAAAGCGAACACACCAAAAAACATGTGTTTTCCTTTGGTGTTGGTGCAAATTTGGCCTCTGTGGGTTTGAACGCGGGGGGTTGGAGGGCACTTGAAACCGTATTGGTTCGTGTCGGATGCTATCTCGAGCCACCTTGAGGTATGTTTGGCCATATTGGAAGCTCGGGCTCTCTGAGGCCGTCTTGGAGCCATCTCGAGCCATCAAGGACGTTCTAACTCCTCGCAGGTAAGCCCGCCCAGACGCAGAGGAGGAAGGTAAACCTCTCGAGCAGGGAACGGAATGAGGTTGGAAAAGGAAACGGGCTGATTGGATTCACACTTCGATGTTGTGTGCGTCGATGATAACATAATTGCTCGGGAACCGAATATACCATACGGATTTGAAGATTTTCTGGGCTCGTCGTTTGTGGTGGTGCGGTTGGGGATCTCACGAGGCACAGAGCGTGAGAGCGCATCGACTTACAAACCGCACGCAAACTAATGCAGCGGCCATATAACTGCAGCAGCCCCGTCGGCGCCTGATCGCCAATTTCCGTGGGCAAGCAAATCGCTAGACAAGACTACGGTTGGACAGTCACCCCTCGCTCCTCATTCATGTAGCTTCTCGTCCCCGCTTGCCCACGTCACACATAATCTTCCTCACTACTCCTCATACACAGTCGTCCACTTACGCCTGCTCCCTCCGCATCCCCCCTCCCTCTGCTTCGTCTCCTCATCGTTTTCGTGATCATCACCATCGCTCCTTACCCTCGCCTTTTGATCCTTACTCAAACTCCGCGTTCCTGACCCTCTATCCATCCTCATCGGTCCTCATCCTCGCGCATCCTCTACCTTCTAATCCCCGTCCTGGTCCTTCCCATCGTCGTCTCGCCTCCTCCTCACTTATCATTCTGCGTCATCCTCAATTCTTGGCGTTTCGAGTACCCCCACCAGACCGTCCAGAAACGATGCCCACGGGAGTTGCCCTGCACGGGGTCGTGCGGGAGCATGCAGTGAAGCAAAGAGGGGGCGGCCGTTATCCTTCGAAGGGGGAGGAATGATGACAAAATGGAGGAGGAGGAGGGAGAGAGGAGGCATGCGGCAGAGGCGGACGTGGCGGAGAAGACGACGAGGGCGAGCAAAGGAAGAGGAACTTGTCGGAACATGTCCCCACTTAATTGCACGTGAACCGTAGGTGGGAGGAGGAGGAGGAGGAGTCAGAGGATGAAAGGAAGGAGGACAGGGAGGATGGCGAGGAGGATGGGGAAGGAAGAAGGCGGCGACGGCCACATGGGAGGCGACGGCGATGACATAGAAGCCTCTTAGAGGCCTCTTGTTGTCATCTTGGGGCTTTCTCGGGGCACGGTTGGGAGCTTCCGGAAGCCTCTTGGGGGTCTCCTGGGGCCCTCCCTCTTGGGGCAATCTTGGAGACCATCGATCAAAAAGGGATGGTCTTAGTAACGCACCCCCGGTGGATGCCAAAGTCGCTTCCAAGGTCCCTCGCGGGGCCTTCTTAGGGCGCTTTTGGGCGTTCTTGGGGCCGTCATGGTACCTTCTTAATCATCTTGGGGCTCTCTTGGGTCATCTTGGAACCACTTTGGGGTCTCGGGGGCCCATCGGAAGCGAAAGAGCGAGAAAGTAAGCAGCGTTATCTTTAAGTGTTTTTTGGCCTCTTGGGGGCATCCTTAGGAGGCTCCGTGCCCACTTGGAGTCATATTGGGGAGATCTTGAAGCTTCTTGGAGGCATTTTGGAAGCTACCTTGAACCATCCTGGGCTATCTTGAGCGATCTTGGAAGATCATCTTGGGCTATCGGAGGCCCTCTTGGACGTTCCAACCCCTCCCTCGCGCCCCCCCCCCCGTCCAGACTTGGCTCAAAAATGCTTCCGCGATGCCTCCGCTTGCCTCCAATATCAACAAGTCTGAAAAATACTGAGCGGTTACTTTGGCGCGAGGTGCCGCCTACCAAAAGGGCCCCATAACGGCTCCACAATGCTTCTAAGATGCTGGAGCGATCTGTTTGAGACGCAGGAGACGGAGGCTGAGGAGGAGTGAGGAAAATAAGTGGGGTGGGCGGCCTGGATTTGGATGAAGAGAGAGGAGACGCAAACTGGAGTGGGAGTGTGGAGCAGGAGTGGCTTAAAGGTGTGAGGAGACGCGTGAGGAAGACGATCAAGGGTGCGCATGGGAAGTGGGGAGCAGAACGTGAACTTACGAAGCGTAAAGTGGAGCACCAGGGAGCAAGATGATGAGGGCGGCGGGGGGTGGGGAGGGAGGAGTACGGGTGAGGACGAGCGAGGCCGTCTGAGGACGCGCACGGATGTGGAGAGAGAGAGAGAGGGAAGACAGATTGATGTGGAAACGTGAAGAGGGTGGATGAGTATAAGGAGGAAATTTATCGTAAGGATGAGGACCAGGATGAGGATTCATGAATATTATGATGGTGCTGATGATGATGACCGTTGATGCTGACGATGACGGCGACGATGGAGAGGATGTGGGTGAGGGTGCTTAAGGCCAGGGATTGCGAATTAACCATGATGGGTAATGAGAAGGAGAAGGGAGGGGAGGAGGAGGAGCAGGAGGTGGAGCAGAGACTGGAGGATGAGCGACGAGAAGGGAGAGATAGATAGATAGATGAGAGAGAGAGAGAGAGGCGAGGAGTGAGGAGGAGGCAGATGTGTGAGGAGTAGGAGTGAGCAGGGTGAGCGTGAAGGAGTGAAGAAACCTAGCCATGAGGATGATGCTTGAGGTACCACGGGGACTCTGGAGCCAGCCCCACGGTGGCTCCAGAGCCCCAATGTGCACTGCCGAAATATTGTGTAGGGGCCACCTACTCTCACAGGCTGCGTAATCCGACATAATTCTCCTCAGTCCTCTTCCCCACTCATCCTCGTCACGCCTGTTCCTCCTCCTCCTCCTCCTCCTCCTCCTCTTCCCCAATTCCCCCCATTCCTTCCACGCGCTTCTCCACCGCACTAATCATCATCCTTCGCCCCATTCACTTCTCATCACCGACATTACCACTACTCCTTCTCCTCCATCGTCCACCTCGATGTAGCGGTTCCTCCCAAATGAGGCCTATCTCGATGTCGTCGTCACCTCCGCCGTCGGCGTCGGCGTCGCCATCGTCGTCATCGTCGTCATCGCGGTCGTCGCCGTCGCTGCCAATCGTCGCCGTCGCCGTCATCGTCGTCGGCGTCGTCGCCGACCCTGCCTACGCCCCCCGAGAACGGGCCCTCAGACCTTTCCAGGAGTCCAACCGCACCAGATTTCCGAGCCGCGCTCAGCTGCGGTGGCGAGGCCTCCCGAGGGCCAGAGCACCTCGAACCTCGGTCCGATGGGTTCGCGAAGACATCCTGGAGGGGTGGGGGACATGGCCGCCGACATGGAGCGAACCTCGAACCAAGAGGACCTCGAGGACCTCGAAACCTGCAGATTGACAAATGTCGATCTGCAAATCTGCAGATCGACATCGATGTCGATCTGCAGATTTGCAG